GCTCGCAGTAGTGATCAGAACAAGAACGTGCGAGCGCACCGTCTGCTACTGTTGGCAGCGTGTGTAACGCCACCGACTGGAAGGTTCCTCAGACGAGACGCCCTTTCTGACGTGCACCGTTTCGCATCATGCTGGACATGCCTGGACTTGTCGGTTCGTTTTTATGTGCACGGCCACTGTCGTTGTCGTTGCCACGTTGGACTGCACAACCACCTCCGATGCACGACCGTGTGCGCCTATAACGGCATCGATGGTCCTTTGGCTCAACGACAGTCAAATAGCAGCGGAACACGTTTACCTGCTGGTCTTTTTTATAACGGAAACCTGCTTGGTACGCAAGAATTCGTGACTAGATTGACGATATCGTTGCGTCTTGTACTGTAGCCAGCGCGAGTGGTAGGTCTCGAACGATGGCGTCACACATATGTGTGTGTCCCTGAGATCGTAGCCTATCTGGTCGTCGTTCAAATACCATCAAACTTAAATGAGCAGGTGCGACGATACGAAGTTCTCCAAGTATGAAGTCTCAGCTGAGCTTTGGTCCTCCCCTACGCTCCGAGCGTCGTCACCACTTGATCAAGTTTGGCGGATGACGTTTGCTGTATCAATTCCGTTTGATACAGAAAACGTCATCTGCCTTCCGGCATTCGCCTATCTCTCTCCTGTAGAACGGCTGCAACTCCATTTATAGATCCTCCATGATCAACGGATGTGCAACGCACGCGTGGTCGTCGTTGATGTAACCTTGTGTAGAGTTGGGTTCAGGAACCCAAAATACAGGCAACGTCTAGCTCATCCTGCGTGTACCCTAGCCTAGCTTTCACATCACCTACAGTCTATCTACACCTACGAAACTCGAGCCGGATCTAGCTAAGCCAACCTAGACTCTAGTTAAGCGTCACTGGAGCCAACCTCGAATCCGTCATTGACCGTCGCTTATCTGCTCGTCCAGATGACTCGCGACGCAGCTTCCCCAAGCGACAGCAGCTCGTCTTCCGGTTTCTCCAGCGACGAGAACGTCCCGGCGTGTTCATCTGCCTCGTCTCACGCTCCGAACGTCCACGTAGAAGTACTAGACGAGTGTAATACGAACGTCTCACCGGTCCTTGAGTCCAAACTTGACGCGTCTATAGCTTCTCTGGATGTTCTTCAGTGCTGCCGTGATGCCGTCGAGTCAATCACAAGTTCTTCAGTACCCCAAGACGTACCCTATGAGCAGTTCACGGCCGCTATTGGCCACGTGACGCTCCATTGGCCGTCTCTGGACACAGGATCGAGAGCTCAAGAGCTGGCGGAAGACCGACTCTCAGCGTACGCTGCGCTCCGTGCTGCAGTTTATCGGACATTTCACCAGGCGTTTCCATTGACCGGGGAAATGTACAGCCAGTGGATTAGCGATTGCAGTGCAAAAGGAGACTCGATTGAGTGTGTCAAGTCGCTCTTTGAACTGGCTCATCAGGACTACTGGTCCGTCTCACTGACGTTGCAGTATCTCCGATTTGTGAGAGAACACGGCGACAAAATGGAGCTGGAAGCTGCAATGAAGAAAGCACAGACGACGCTAGGGACGCACTTTGCACGAGGGCATGAGGTCTGGGCTCTCTGTCGGGATCTGACGGCGGAACTGTACGACGAACAAGACGAGCGTCAGGACGTACGTCTGGAGAAGGAAAGAGCGATTCGAGACCTCTTTTGTCGACAGATGCAGCTGCCATTAGAGCAGAACGACCTGGTCATGTCGGAGTTTCGAGCGTGGAACGCGTACAACACGCTTGATGCAGAAGCTGCGAGATCAGCGGTCGAAGAGGCGTCCAACCGACAGAGCAAGACCTTTGGACCAGTAATGAAGAAGCTACGTGGGTTCGAGGTGAAGGTTCAATCGGTCGGCGAAGCCGCGGCGCCTGAAGTGGCGTGGCTGCAGTACTTGAATTTCGTCAAGCACCGCGTTGTGCCATTGATGAGTGGGAAGGCTGGACCAGAAGAAGGAAGACAGGTTGTCGTGTGCCTGTACGAGAGAGCAGTGGCGGTGGTGTGTCTGGGGCCCACGCTATGGGCTAGTTATCTCGAATACGTAGAGTCTAACCAACTTGTTGCTGATAAATCGAAGCAAAGGGGTTTTGAGAAGCTAACGATCGCTCGAAGAGCTGTACGAAATGTGTCGTTTGACTCCTCTATCTGGATTGAGCTGCTGATCGAGATGGAGCGCAAGGGCACACCTGCAGACGAGATTTTGGAGTTCGTGCGACACGAGTTACTAGTTCGCTTGAGGTCACCCATGGATCAATACCATTTGTTAGGCGTGCTGCTCACATTGTGTGACATAATGCGCCGTCACGTTTGCACCTCCATTCACGACAAGACTCCTGATATCTCGATGTCCCAGGTCGAGTCACTAGTCGGTGGAGTGTTTTCAGAATGCGAACACTTTATTAACAAGACCTTCCCGGACTTCGCTGGGGGCAAGTTACGACTGACAGAATACCAAGCGAAGTGCTATTGGGCACTGATGCCACCTGTCGAAGTTCCAGCGCAATCGCCTGCAACAGCAATGAAAGTGTCCGAACAAATTGAACTCTGGAAGAAGACGCTTACTACACCTCTCAGAAGCCAGGTCGCAACGTGGATCGCCTACTTGGAGTCGATTCGACGCACGAATGCATTCCCGATTGATCGCATCCGCACAATGGTGTTTGAAGAGGCTGTGCAGTGTGTGACAGATGTTCCCAATGCGCTGGCTGAGGCATGGCTTGTTTTTGAGCGTGAGTATGGTGATTTAGCAAGCTATCTCCGTGCACGGCAATATCACGCGAAGCACCAGGCAGTTGCGCAAGCTAATTGGGTTCAAGTTGCCGCACCTTCGACGAGTACTACGCACGGAGAAGGAGACAAACCGGCAAAAGGCGGTAAAAAGCGTAAAGCTCCTATCGAAGCCAAGCAAAAGAAGGAATTACAGAAGCAATCGGCTGTAAAGCGTGCGAAGCATGATACTAGCAATGCCAGTAGAGACGATGCTGGTGCCTTGGATGTGGAGCACTTCACACCGGTGCAAAGAGCGAAGAAGAAGCAGGTACACGAGCACTTGACGAACGAGCACACGCTTTTCGTGTGCAACGTGTCGAAGAATGCTAGTAAAGATGAGATTGAGGAAATATTCAGGGACATTCCAACGTTGAAAGATGTGCGACTTGTTGCAAAGACGCGCGGTGATCGAGTCAAGTCGCGTGGTATGGCATACGTACAATTCACGGACGACGCTGGCGCTGAGGCAGGACTCAAGAAGAATGGATGCTTGCTGCACCAGCAGCCTTTGCGTGTTGAGCGCTCAAAGCCGCCAGCAAGTGCCTCCTCCAACGGTGGTGGTTTGAAGCCGAGCGGTAGTGAAGGGTTTTGGAAAACCGATCCATTGACTTTCTACGTTGGCAACTTGAATCGTGAGGGATCTAAGGAGCAGGTGACTGAGGAGCACCTGCAGACTTTGCTTCAGCAGGCAATGCACTCGGCGGGTGAGCTTGTCGTGGTCAACCGTGTGTGTATTCTGAAAGATCGTCATGGCAAATTGAAGAACTACGGTCTCGTGGAAGTGGCCGAGCCTTCACATGTTGCAATTTGCTTAGGCAATGTAGCGGCACTCCAAGAAAAGCTAGGCGACCAAGTGACGCTGAAGCCATCTCGCTTTTCGATTGCTCACATCCTTGAGCAGCAGCAAAAACAGCAAAAGCAGAGAGAGCAGCGAATAATGAGTGGAGCTTCTTTCGAAACCCGTGGAGGAGCCGCTAGCAGAAGCGAAAACGTGCTGCATTCACGACCGTCTACACGCCTGGTTCTTCCATCGGCTACAAGCTTGATGCCGCGCGCACTTCGCCGGAAGTTGGCTGCGCAACAAAAAGAAGCAAGTGAAACGGAGGCGGGTTCCAGCTACGAAAGTGTGACACCCAAGAGTAACGAAGATTTTCGCAAGATGCTGTTTGACAGCTAGGTATGACCGAAAGGTTGGCCGTACAATGTGAAGAGCTGCGTCGTCGCGATTTGACTTGTTGGCTCTTCGTGCAGTTTAGCAGATGTCACGTGTGGGAAGTGATCTGAGCGCACAGCTCTCAGTTCCAGTCATGTAGTCGCTTCCAGAAGCGTATGTACTCTTGTTGGCGAAGATGTGCTGACGTTGGAGCTGGAACCGTGATATGTCCGATGTCGTTGGCATTCCGATGCGTGGGATCCTCGTACTCGAACACATTTGTCGTCTAAAGATGTCGGAATCTCTGTACGTGCAAATATGAAGCAGAGGGACGCAACGTTAGTATGGCAGATCGGGTGCAAGTTCTTTGTATGCGAAGTCAGTCGGCTCGAAGGTGCAGTCCTGTAGCCCATGGTGATCGATCATCTAGCAAGCTGTCACTCTTCCTGTCAAGAAACCTGCGTGGTCGCATTGATTGGGCTCACACCTCAGGTGAGAGACCAAGCTGTTGTCAAAGGTAGCTGAGTGGCAAAGATGGACCTGTGATGGAGCTATGAAGCACAACCTGTTCACACCAAACACGCAGCATGCGTTTGTGCCTAGGCACCTGACTTGCACCACGTTGGCCGCATACTCGTCGCCTCTGCTGCTACAGAAGTTACAATCGTTATGAAAGTGTACAAAATGCTGAACCACAACGATTACGACGTTATTGCTGCCACCAATACATCAGTAGCCACAATAGCCGATGCTAAATCAGTAGCCACTACAGCCGATGCTAACTTACACTTTATGTTGATCTACACTTTGCTGCTCCACTCTAGCCGACTGTCGATACTGACTTCGCCCTTCTGTAAGCTGCTAGCTGTGAGTTTGTTCCTATGCTGACAAGCTTGAAAAAGGGATAGTGAAGCCATTCTGTAGGTATCCCCGAGCCAGGTGAAGCCAATCCATTTGATCAGTCAACCTACAACGACGACCTGAGTCGTCCTACAAAAATAATAACACGCACCAATGAATTTAAAAGCGATAAAACAAGTGTCGAAACATGGACGCGGATGCCCCCGTGGCAGCGCAGATATCGCAAGCGGACATCATCGAGCGCCAAGCGGAGTCCATTGCACGGCTCAAGCGACAAGTGAAGAAGGCCGTCGAGTACAAGCAGCTGACCAAGTCCAAACTGAAAGAGGCAGCGGCCAGGCTGAAGGAGTATCGTGAGCATGTTGAAACGTTGCGCGAAGAGGGTGAAACGCTAAAAAAACGGCTAAATGACGAAAAAAGCAGTCATGAAAACAGCAAAAGGTTGCACCAAAACGCGTTGAAACAGGCAGTAAAAGCGGTAAAACAAAAAGTGCATGCAGCGACGCAGACACAAGAGCTGGAATACGTGACGCAGGCGAGTCAGACACGATTGAGTGGACATGTGGACCAGATTTGCAAGAGCAGTACAGTGGACAGTGAAGTTCAGACGGACGCCGTGCCGGTCGATACGTTAACGTCTAGAAAACGCACTCGGGGACACGCAGTTTTTGGCGCGGTACACGATGAAGTGGATCAATTGGTGCCAAGACTTTCGAGACCTTTTCCAGAAAAGGCACATCACGATGTCTCTACAACTGAGCCAATGCTCGCGCTGACGGCTGTGAATGGTGCAACAAATTTGACGGAAACAAGTGCAGCACTCGATGCTGAATTGGCGCTTAGTGACTCGGAGGACGATAGCGATGAGGCTTTAGCCTTTGAGATTGAAAACCGACAAGAGGATGCAGCAGCACAAGACTCGGTGTTGGATTTATCAGTACTGGACGAGATTGACATGGCACTGGAGATGATAACCGACGAGGACAGGGAAGGGTGTGGAGCGACTTTGGAGGAGAAACGTAGTACAAAGCCGCTGCTAGGAAGCGTCGATCCGGCACTGTTGCATGAAATTGACAAGGAGTTGGGATCGAGCAGCGATGACGACGACAAAGGGTGCGTAATAGATCCAGTGACAACAGGCGAGTTGGCAGAAAATGCAAATAGCACGCTAAACAGTGGGGTAGCATGTCTTGCTACTGGAAAGCAAGCACATGTGTCTGCAGACGTTAATGCTTTGATCGCCGACGCTATCGATAAGGAATTGGCAACAAGCAGCGATGAAGAAGACAGTGTGGAAGAAGATAGCCTCTTGGCAAGATCTGATTTGAGTGCTAAACCTGTCGAGCGACCCAATGTAATCTCAAGCAACATTTATCAGAACAAAGAAACGCTAAGGTCTATCGACGAGGAATTAGATGATGAGTTTGCAGCTTTGGACGCGGACTCGGATAAGGATAGCCACGAACAGTCCAAAGGCTCTTCTTCTTCTAGTGGTTCAAGCAGCAATGGCGACTCGAGCGGCAGCAGTAGCAGTGAATCTGGTGGCGATGGAGGTGACCCCATAACTAGCACTGGGCACAACGCTGCTGAATGTAAATTTCCTGATTTAGTGGAAAAGAAAGAGGTGGAAACGAAAGTGCAGCGAGTAAAATATGACGGCAAGTTAGAGGCACATTTATCTCTTCCAGTCGATAAAGGTGCAGTGGATGTAGCAAGACCGGTGGGAACAGAAGGTGCTAGCTTATTGGAGGACTTGAATTCGACGACGATTGTAATGGAATTGCCGGCAAGAGCCCTTGATCCTTTGCAGCTGGGCAGTAGTGTGGAACTCGGTGAAGTCGGGATAAAACTTGGCAGTTCTGAGGCTTATCAACCAGGCCTTGAGCAGAAAAATGACAAAGACTCCATTCCGTCAAGTGGGGCTATCACCGACGGCGAGAAAAATAACAATGTCTCCATTCCGTCAAGTGGGGCTATCACCGACGGTGGGGATGCTAACGCTGCAGTCGCTGACACTCAGGTTTTTAAAGGTCAGAATGCGTTGAAGCGACCAACGCCTTTGGCGCCCAACACCAGTACAGATGGAATGACAGAACTCGAGGCAGGTTCCATTTCGATCTCCGAGCCAATATCAGACCTCGTCCCGGTTGAGATCCTCTCCGCGTCAACAGATTCCGGTGGACAGGCTGCTGAAACTCAAATTACCGATAACGAGCCTCCTAAAGTATCCTCCGTCATTGAATGCAGCGCTATCCGGAAAGTACGGAAGGTGGATGAAGCGAATTTGGAGAGCATCCAGGGCACCTCGCAAAAGAAAACTAAGCTGGACAATACTCACCAACAGGCAAAACGGGAATCAGGAGAAGCACTTGTATCGTCAACGCAAATATTGACGGGTGATGGGATGTCAAAAATAGAGAGCGCTGATACAGATGAGGTCAAGGACGATCAACTGGCGAGAAAGAAATCTTTGTTGTACCTTGAGCGGGCCGTTCAATTGGATGAAGGCAAAGAACCTGACTACGAGTTTACTCGACGAACTATCTATATTTTGGTAAAGCAGTGCTCCGGATTTGTGAATACGTGTCCTGATCATGTGGTAAGTTGCTTTTCGTTGTATAGTGTGTGTTTCGACTTGTGGCAGCTATCTAAGAGGCTTTATCTGTCGTTTTCTTTGCAGATAAGCCTGTGTCTAGTTCTGACCAGGGCATATCGTAAGTTGGGGATCTCTCCAATGCTCGTGGTGCGTGCATCCCTCAGTGTCTTTCGAACACCACGGTCTCGTCGTTTAATGCAGGAACGGAAACTGAGTCTAAGCTGGCTTTGCAATCAAGTAGTGCTACAGGTTATGTGCAACAATGCCGAAGATCTAAGGCAAGATGGATCCATTGCTCCAGAGTCGTTGAGCTTGTCGCTCATCAACGAGTGCTTGTTCTATCTTCGAAATTTACTGGTCGAGGAGCGAACAAGTGTTGGTCAGTTTCTGTCGGATAGTAGCGCGCAAGTACGGGTTGCTGCACGGCCGATCAAAGTAAGCCACGAAAAGGTATTTCTGGCACATATCTGTGCCCTCCACACGCACCTTTGCCGTTCAAGTGGACAACTGGTTGCTTCGCGTGTGCTGCTCTTTGATCTGGTGCGTGACAACCCAAACATTAGAGGGTTGTACTTTGCGATGGTAACAGTAGAGATCTATCCTGCGGTTCTGGAGCGTAAGTTCGATCAACACTGCGTCGAGCGTCAACTGATACTGAGGGAGACGTTGCAGCAAGCTTTGGTCTATATATCGGGCGTCGCCGCCGCAAAGCAGGAGCTTTTATTGTATCAGCCAAGTACGACAATGCTTCATACCATCGCTGATGCTATCCAGATGCCTGAGATAGAAGAAGTTGATGGCAGCGATCCTAATCTATCGAGGACCTCTGTGGAAAATCTGTTTGACAAGGTCTCAGCTCTCTGTGGAGCATCGCAATCTCGATTACCGGACGATAAAGTGCAAAGCTATGTGGCAGCTGATTATTTCGCACTCGCAAAGAGCATTGAGCTATGCGCGGCGGTCTACGGCCTTGACCTCGTCACAGAAATCTTCAGCGTCGATCGGTGTCAAGCACTTTTCAACGAAACGTGCGTCAGGAACAAGATCGGTATCATGTCTATCGTTGGCCATGTAGCCATGAGCTTCACTTCGAAGTTGTGCAACACGCAGACTTCAAGTGCTGGAATACAGCAGTACGTCGAGAATGTCGTTCAGTGGATGTACCACGTTTTGTCGACTGACGAAGTATCTTCACCGGATGATCGCTTTGAGTTGATGCTCGGGTGCGCAGCAGTGTGTATTGACTTGATTTTGGGGTACCCAGCGCCCGCTGGTTCAGAATCTCGACGGCGAGTGTTGTGTGCGGTGGTCCATTGGTTCGACACAATACCGCCAGAACAGTCGATAGGCTTACCAGCTACCTTTTTAAGGCGACTACGCCTTGCAGTGGTCGCTGCCCGGCCGCATATAACGGCGAAATAATTGAGACGGATAACGACAGACGGAGTTTGGATGCGGTTTTGACATGTCCAGCATTCCTTGCTCAACGAAGTCACACATAGACGTTCTTATGTAGCTGTGACATCGAGTATTGAAAACAATGGCGCTGGTGTGGGCTCGAATTTTGCAATAAAGTACTTCATTTGTGCTTGGCAGGGAGTCTACAAAGCCTAGCAGTACATTCTTGGTGGAAGCAAGTGAGTCAACGTGAAGACTCGAGGACGTATAAATTATCATTCACATTGTGGGAATCGAACAGAATTCACTATTGCCACTTCATCTGATCTTAAATGCCGAAGCGAAAGACTCCAGCAAGCTAGTATGATTGGAGCGAGCTGAAACAGAGACGCATAAGGAGATGCAAGTCAACCTGGCTGAACAAGAACCAATCAAACCGTGCATGGAGTTTGCATATTAATGCTGCTCGAGTTCCTTTGCGGAGAGCAAGGCAAGTTTGGTAAGGTACTCACTGGTTAAAAAGGCAACTCGCCTTATGGATGCAACAATCACATGTCCATGTGCCAGTGGATACGATGGCGCTGGATAAGTCAGCGCAGGAAAACAGTTTAAATGAAAGTCACATGGGACGGATGCTTACAGTGATGTCTTTGGAAAAAGCTAAAGTAGTGGCAAGGACCAAGACAAAGAACGAACGCTTACAGTGTGGCAATCACAGGACCAGTGTGAAACGAACAGGTAGACGATCGTATAGATGAGTGTCCAAGTGGGCTTCGAGCCAACATGGGTCAGTGTGGGAGCGCTTTGGTGCAATGGTGTAGCGTCACTTCGATACTTACCAATTCCCTGAGTGCACATTTCTTTGTTTGAGTAATGCATACCTACACGCTGCCAAGGTAAACATTGGTGATCATGGAATAGTCAGTCTCGCCAAGTTTTGCTCACCCTTTAGTCGAAATGGCGAGCGGTGGGGCTGCATCGAGACGCAATGTTGATTATAATAAAATGATAATAGATTGTGGACAACTGCTTTTTGCCAGCAAGTTCGCGCAAATTGTTAGAATCGTGTACATAACTTCCGAAGCTTGAAGGAACAAAATTGCCGTAGATTGTAATACAAGGGTATCCTAAGGTTGATGGGCTAATGGAAGATTTAGAGCTGTTATACAGCGGTGCGGTCTCGTAAAGATCTTCGACGATGAGTTTTAAAAAGTCGCAGTTGGCTGATACGGCAGCTATGATGTAATGGGGTGTGTAGCGGAGCTACACAGCTCCTTAAGTCAGAGGAAGACTTAACGCTCTACGAGCAACTTAGTTCCAAAGAACTAACGACTTTACGAGTCAGCAAGCTTTACAGCTTCAGATCCCTGTTCCAGGGGACCTAACGATTCAGTGAATCGACAGCACTTAGTGCTATAGAGTAGCTACCTCAAGGAGGTGTTGCTAACTCTTAGTGATCAGAGATCAACGATCAAGACGGCTCGCAAGCCACGCGTCTTTCAGATCAAAATGGGAACTGATTTTATTTAATGTTAAAGCCTATAGAATATCTTAATCCTACTCAAAGATCTTTCGTATCTAATGGCTGACACTTGTCAGCCCCTACAAACCGATAAGATATTCTATATCACCTTCACAGAAGCGAACCCTCAGGTGTGTAACACCTCTGGTACAAAGTACCATGATTTCGTGCAACCCCGTTACACCCTCCCCCCACCAGACTGACGTTTACCCAAAACGTCAATCGAACTCGTATTCTCAGCGAGAACAGTGCGCGTACGGTGAACCTCACGGTAACGTACGCTCTAGCACGATGTCCTCATCACCAAACGAGTCAAAGGCTCTGTGTGACTACCTCGAAATAGAGGAAGAGGTGGACTATGGTAGCGATACCAGTGTCCGCGGTGACACAGGGACAACGTCCGGCTCACTGATGCCTGAGGCACAACTTTCGAACACCCCAAATCCGTTCGCTGAACGTGGAGGTGCGAGCGCGCCGCCAGCGCAGCGTGCAGCATCTGGGTTTGATGAGACTATCATCGCGAACCCGCTCGATGAGCAACAACAACTGCTTGTTCAAAGAGAACAAAACGCTCAGCGTTATGCACAGATGACTGCAACCCTTGAACGCCAGCGTGATTATGTGTTCACCCCACCCAGTGTGGAGGAACGTCTGCGTCAAGCGGCCGGCCAAACATTGGCAACGTGGGTCATTGGCCATGGGCCTAAGACTCCTGAGGAGGTGGTGAGCTGCCAGGCACTTCGTGAGAGGTACCTGGAGCCGCACCTAACGACTCAAAGTCAATACAAGGCACGCCTTGACATGCAAGCACGTGGTGCACCAGTTCCACCGATGAAGGGTATACCCATTCTCCTGCTCGCAGGCGAAACAGCGAGTGAAGAAGACGATGCCTTTGTTCACTGGGTGCACTATGTGCGTCGCCTCAGCAACATTTTTGCTCTAAGGGCTAGTGCCCATGCGGCGGATGTGCGTCTCGAACGCAAGCTTCGGTATGATTATGCCAAGCTTAAGGCCAGAGGCCAATTGCGCAAGCGCACGCGCTATGCTTCGGCTACTAAGGTAGCCGCGAGTGCTGGTCAGTCTGTGACCAACAACCCGCCAACCCGCACCACTAGTGGTGGTGAACGGCCTCGGCCTCGCGATGACCATGGCCACGATGCTCAAAAGCCTCCAAAGCATATGGGCAGTCTTGCCGAAGGGGTACCTCAAATTCCCATGAGTTTTCAGACTCAGGGTACCCACGCCACTTTACCAGATACTGATATTGGCCCTGACGACGACGTCGTTTCAGTAGTCTCTCGACATGGAATTGACGACACCCATGCTCATCGAGCAACGTCGGTGGCGGCCGGTGTACCGGTGGAGGCCCACGAGAAATTGGTTCTCGAAGTGAAGGGTCTTCAAGCGGCCTTGGGTAAGTCCCAGTGCATGCTGGATGCGATGCAAAACCGCCTTCAGGCGATGGAGCAAGCTCAAACTCGGAGCGAGGCTCAGTTGGACTTGCTGATTCGTCTACAGCAATCCGGGGCGGTGCCCTTGTCGTCGGCGCAAGCGCCTCCAAGTTCACATGGGAAGGATCCCGGTACGGCTTAAGTAAGCCTACGTAGAACACTGGATGTGTGCGCAATTTGCGTGGGAGGTTTAGCGTATACGCAAGTCCCCTTTTGGCCGTGACCGTGAACGGTCCAATAAAGCGTGGACGCAACTTTGTCTTAAAGACAGTAGACACTACATTTGTAGGTAGATTTTTAGCATTGAGTAGTACTTGGTCTCCGACCTCATAACGTTCAATGCAATTTCTGCTTTTGGCATCAGCTTGTTGTTTTTGGGTATCTTGGCTATCAGCCATTGCGTCACGCACATGTCTTAGGACATTTAATCGCGTTGCGAGAAACTCGCTTACCTGTTTTTGAACAGTAGCAGGGCTGATATCAGCAAGCCGATCGGCAACCTCTCCCCCCACCAAGCCCTGATTCACGTAGTGATAGCGTTAACGGAACGCGAGGGTGAGTGAGACCGTTTATATAGAACGGAGTAAAGCCTGTTGAGGCATGAACAGCGTTATTCAACGCAAACTCAACAACAGGGAGCATTGAGCTCCAACGCCTAGGCGTATCAGCGCAAATACTGCGCAAAATGTCGTTGATGACGCGGTTTACACGCTCAGTTTGACCGTCGGTCTGCGGATGATCCGGCGTGACATTTCCAATCGAGTGCCAAGCACCTTGAAGATAGACTTCCAAAACTTCCCAGTGAAGCGGGGGTCTCTATCAGAGATAATTGCCACAGGCAAGCCATGTTGGCGAAACACACGGTCGATAAACAGCTTTGCTGTACCTTCCGCATCGATGCTATCCGGCACAGCCGCTAAGTGAGCCATCTTGCTCAATCGGTCAACAAAGACCACAATACCAGTGTTGCCTTCCGAATCTTTCGGTAGGCCAAACACAAAATCCATGCTCATGGACTCCCAACAACCACTGGGTACTGGCAAACTAGCCAGCGGCGCCGCCGCATGTGCCGAGGGTTTTACCCGTTGACACGTTTCGCACGTACGCACATAGGTGCGCACCCACTTATAAAGTTTGGGCCACCAATAGCTTTGGCTCACCGAGCTATAAGTCTTCTCACGACCGAGATGACCACTTAAAGCAGTATCATGTGCCTCATAGAGGATCCGATACTTTAATTCCTCATTATGAGGTACTACGATACGAGGGTTGTCCTCAATATCCGTGCGATAGCACAATAGGCCATTATCGATGGAATATCGATGTAGCCTCGCACGTAAACGTGCCGACAATTCTATGTCCGAGTCTTTAAACTCATTGCTCCCAAGAGCACGTAGCAAAGCTACACACTGATCGTCCTTGGCATATGCCGCACGAATTAAGTCAGGGACTGACGACGACAGGGTCGTAACATGAGCAAGCTCATAGTCAGGTCGACGCGATAGCGCATCAGCCAAAGCGTTTTGCTTACCTGGCTTGTACTTCACCTCGAAGTTATATTCGGCAAAGAAAGATAGCCAACGAGCCATTCTCTGTGAGAGATGAGGCGACTGTATCGCAGTGCGCAATGACGCATGATCGGTATAGATCACAAATGGCTTCGAGCCAAGCAGATGGACTCTGAATTTGACAAGAGCGTACTTCATAGCAAGTAGCTCTTTGTCATGAACAGGATAGTTCTTTTCAGCAGCTTTCAGCTGTCGAGATTCAAATGCGATGACGCGTTCGCGTCCGTCGACATCTGTTTGTAACAGAGCACTGCCTATGGCAAAGTCAGATGCGTCACAGACGACACTGAAAGGCCGGCCAGAATCGGGCAAAGCCAAAATTGGCGCATGGAGGAGACTCTCCTTAACTGCTTCAAAAGCATTATGTTCGGTGTTACCCCAACACCAACCCACATCCTTTTAAGGAGATTGGACAATGGCCGAGCCATATCTGCGTAATTTGCACTATACTTATGTAAGTAATTGGCAAGGCCAAGCCATTTA